ATAACTCCCTTATTCTACCCTTTCATATCTACAATGGATACCAAGGAAACATTGCAAATTGGCATGAACGGGGAAAATGCCATAAAATATTGCAACTACACAGGTTCTTCGCTGTATCCTCTAAGACCTCCAGCCAATTACCTGATTTTGGCAGAAAAGGCTACAACACATGCCAAAGAATTGGTTATCGTTTCAACCTACAACCTTGCTCGGTTACTTCCACGATATTGAAAACGTTTTGGATCGTCATTTCCTAAATTATTTCGAACGTTTTGGCTTCCTATCAAGAGCATGAAATGGGCTTCAGAAATCGAGCTCATAGAAAAACTTACTTATTGTATATTTAGTTGTCTTGTTACTTTCTTACTAATTGAGACGTCCTCTTACAGCTTTTGAGAAGAGTATCGAACTCATTTCAATCACATATATTGTTTCTAATAGATTTGGTTCTTGTGTATGTCTACAGATTTTGTCCTTCTTTCCCTCGATTTTGTTTTTTGCTCATTAGGGTTATATCCATAAAGCATCATGAAGGACAAGGGCGTTTATTACTTTGCTTGTTTATTGGAGGCAGTCAAGTGCTATTCTTGCACTTGTTTTCAACACGGTGTTCTGCTGAATTCTTCTTTCTTGTACAGATCCGCATTTCAGTTCCTAATTCGAGACTGAAACGCTATGGGGACTTAATCTTCATTGGTCAATTACAGAATAATGTCCCGGTTTGGGGCATAGCTTGACACTTGGGGACCGGAAGGCGAAGGGCCCCTATTTCTTTAGGCTTGATGAAAAAAAACGTAACATTAAAAACTATTTATTTACATATCTAATCCGGAAGAAATATGTATTTTTACTAGAAAAAACATATTTAAAACAAACGGACAGCATCTCGGGGTACCCTTCCATTGGAGGCCCAAGATAGCAGTGAAATATCGCCTCCTCTCAGGTACGCTAATGTTTCCATTCAAAGTCTATATCATCAGACTTATTCGTAACAATAAATCAACTCTCCCCCCAATACAACCAGTGATTTTTTAAACTGTTGCCATGGCGTATTTGCGTGTGAAAGCCGGTGAATGTGACGTCACCTTCGTAGGCTCGACAACTAGGATTAGATTAAACCTTTGGCCGAATCCCTCGTGCCAACTTGATGCTTGTGTGGTGTCAAAAGTTTGGTGTTGACGGTGATTTGTATTCTATGAGAGCTACCGATTGCTGTATAGTTAAAACAAGTATGGCATAATGTACAAACTGGGCAGATTAACGCTTATAATTACCCTATTTATAAATATTTGTCTTGCACTCTGTAAATAACGCGTGCACCTTTGACAATAATAAGTTAAGCACACGAAGGTTGGGGAGATGAGTGGATGTTCAGAATTTTGTAGTTTGTTACAGAATTAAACAAAGATTTGTGGAAGTACAGTATATGCTAACGGTATATGGGGAACTTTGCCGCGTTCCAAGTTTATTCTATGAAATTTTGATGTTTGATAACCCAAGGAAAAGACAGAGAAATGTATAAGCAAAACGGGAAATGCCTGCTTAGTGTTTGTTCATTATCACCTTTTTACATTTCTCTCTAGTCGTTGGTCATTACCTCCAATCTCCCTGCTCACATTTTAAATTGAGTAATTAATAAAATAGGATTGCGCTAAATTGATGTTCAACTTTATAGCAAATATATAAAGGCCGTCGTTTCCATGTTCATCAATATTATGAAAACAGATAATTAAAAAAAACAATTAGAGAAATCCTTCTTTATCCATCCGGTTCACAACCTTTTCGAAATTACTCACACTCCACAAGAGCCACACACAACTCGACAAGAATCTGTGATCTATTTGAAGAATAAACTGTTTAATCAAGCACTTTTAATTGATGTTCCATTTGGTTTTCATTTAATCTATCAGTCAGAAGTTGATTTTACTACATCAAAGAGTGTGAAAGCTGTATGGATTGGTTTGTTTGTGCTTATTCCCAATGTTGCATTTCATCTTGCCAATAGGATACAGAGCACTAAACGTTGATTATTTGTTTAAACTCTGCGGGATCCACACACCAACTTCGGCAAAGCGCAAGAATCAGGCTGGGATATAGATTGTACTGGCAGGTCAGTACAGCCTGTAATGTTGAAGAAACCAAGTGTAAATTATGCAATGAAGAATATAAGCGAACACTTGTACATTATATCTCAGAGTGCCATGTAATACAGCCTTTCAGACCACCTAGCATGAGGTATGGAGAACTATGTAACTACTTCATATCATCTGATGTCTTGGAAGATATAATTATGTTATATCCTAAATTTGGAATGTAGTATCACATGACCACATATCAAATGTTACATTGCCTTTCCACGCCCAAGCCGTATGCCGGCTTGACAGGTGAGTAGATAAATTACTGATCGTTCTTTTCCTTTAAATGATATATTTTAGACCGTAATAATTTTATGATATAGATTTATTCTGTAATACTATTATATAATGCTTTGACCATGTGT